CAAGCAACAGCACTACTTGTAATGCCGGTGACTAACTACCATAGCAAGTGTAGTAAGTGTTCCTTTCTGTAAAACTCCCAAGAGTGCTAGCACGAGATATGACCAGGGTTTCCCTCAGCACTTTATAAGCCTGGTGGGCAAGGGAGACAAGGCAGTTTTGGCTTGCTTTTATCAACCCCTAGTGTCCATTTAGTAAAACCGAAAGCTAAATTTATCTCCTCGCTGTGCGTTCAACTTTTTAGCACGTTAATCTAACAGCTGAAATGTCTCCCCAGCCTTCCTTAGTGTCTAAAGGAGTGATTCATCACTAAATCAAACAAATCACCTGTGCTTGTGATCTAAAACATGCAGGAAGCAGACGGCAGCACCCGGAATGTCAGCTCCCACTTTACTAAGTCCAACAGACCAGACTGGCAACTCTAAAGTTGCAAGTGTAATATTCTGGCCTAAGGGGACAATAGGGACTGGGTGGCTCTTTCATTAACCCTGTAAAGGATCATTTTACCACATACTGGCCCAAATAAATGGTTTAAAAATATGAAACATTTGCATAGTGTCTGTTTAAATAGTCTCAATTTAGACTAAAAACACTTCACACACATTAAACTCACCCTGTTTTTCACATTCTGGCGTTTTGACTACAAGTTTTTTAATGCTCAAAGTATCAGTCTTTTACAGCAAAACCTCCCAACAGAAGTGAGAGCAGAGCTGATTTAATAGTATTGATCATTTCTTTGACTGTGCCAGTTATTTAACCTTGATTTACTTTCTTGTTTTTCAAGAACGTGTTTTATCACCACCTGCCACAAAAACCGAATACTTGTCAAACTTAGTTTAGTTAACATATTGTAACAAAAGTCTATTGTATGTTTTGAAATGTACAATAAAACGTAAGAATTAATGATTGATTACAGTCTGTGTAGCAAATTAGCTCTGCTGCTTTCCAACACCACCCATTTCTCCTTCCACAATGGCGAGACAGATCGTCCAAATGCTCCCTGTTAGGACAGCAGTGGTCCATTGAGACTGTTGATGTTGCAGTGAGTAGCTGTGAGGATGCTGCCCTTGCTGCTTGCAGGCCCTTGAACAGATGACTGTGATCTCTCTGTAATTTGCTCGATTTAGAGACGATCAGAGGTTCCTTCACTCGCCAGCTTTTTTTTTCTTTGGGTACTGCTTAAGGATGATCGACACCACAGTCAACTATAAATGACTACCTTGTTAAATAATCTATAGCAAAACAAAATATATAGATATAGTCATGTATTCTGAAGGTGTGAAATACGATATGAAAATATGAAATAATGTGAAAAGACAAGATTGTATGTAGTTGCTGCAATCAAGGAGAATTAGTGGTTTTTCTTGTACCCAGACTGTGTGAGAACTCGTGATCACAGCTAAGTATTTGAGATGCTGAGTCTATTCTTTGCAGTCTCCTCCTGCGTGTTGCCTTAGGCCCCGTGTCTACATCTGACAGGGAGTTCCTAAGTTTATGTGGCGTGGCACCAGGGTAGACACACACCATTACTCCAAAGCCCCGGGTTCACTCATGAACATCACATACAGCCCTCATCCTGCCTCCTCTCACGGATGGCCTCCTAGCTCGCCAAAGAGAGGGGGGCTGTCCTGCTTTCCTAGCCTCATTGACTCTGGAGGGTCTCCATCAATTAAATCTGATAGACTTTCAACTTCAGTGAACCCGGCACAGCAGCTATTCAGGAAAACAGGAGGGTCACTAGCACCTGAGAGACTAACCGCCCTGGGGCTCCATCACATGAATTCAGAGAGACACATCATTGGCTCTGAGCACATACTAAACTAAACACGGGCAGGAGCAGGGAGTGCTTTAAATCAAAAGGGGCAAACACAGTGGAGCAACCTGCATGCTCAAACACACGGCAATGGACAATAAAAGTAGTGAAACGCCTTTTAAATAGCAACTGGAACTGAGAAATTACGCAGATCATGTTTGAGGATTTGGAATGCACTTTTGTTATGTTGTCAATATTGACACACTGGCAAAATAAACAACAGAAGTAGAAAAACATCTTAATCTCTATATTTCAACTGTTTACCAATAAAGAGTTGAAATCATCATACTGGCTGAGTAGCTAAAAAAAGTAGCTAAAATAAAGAAAGAAAAAAGTTTATGCCAGCTAAATCTGTGACCTAGGATAATCTTTGACTGTAGGGGACGCTTAAGACTATTTCTCATTTTCTAGGTCTTTAAGTGAAAGAAGTAGAAGAGTATTTACGTAAACAGCGTAGCTGCTGTTCCAGCTGAGTTTGGGCTTCACGGTTTCTTGTAGCTTTTGATTAACTTGGCAGTGACTGAAAACTTACTTTATTTTGTATTTTAAGGAGAATAAAATCTGATGAACTTACAAACGGATCGCGGGTGATTTGTTGCACGTTCATAACAGGTGTTTTTCCCCCTTATTTTTCCACCTAAATGTCCTTAAAGCAGTCTGGATGCATTTCATCCTATTTACACCTTCCTACAGCAAATATTGTTTATTTATTATAAGTAGAAATGTATTTTACGCTATGGTTCTATAATTGCCATATTATTACCAGTTTTATTAAACTTGTAAATGACAATTATGGATTCATTCTAGGGTGACAGAATTTTCTCCCTATAATAAATGGTGGCCTGTGTGTTATTTGCTATAGGAGGGGTTTAAAATGAGTAAAATGCATCCAGACAAAATTTAAGAGGTAGAAAAACCACAAAAAACAGCGTTATTAAACTCTTATGTGAATATTATGGATTTATAATAAATTAACAGTATTTGCTGTTGGATGGTGTAAATAGAATGAAATTTGTCCAGACTGCTTTAAGGGCATTTAGGGGGGAAAGGTAAGGGAAAAAAACATTTTGAACGGGCAACAAATTATCCGCGATCCGTTAGTAAGTTCAACAGATATTCTTCTTCTTCAAATACTAAATAAATTACATTTTCAAGTCACTGTGAAGTTAATCAAACGCTATAAGAAACCGTGAAGCCCAAACTCTAAGCTGGAACAGCAGCTCCGCTGTTTAAGTACTCTTCTTCTTCTTTTGCTTTAAGACCTGGAAAATGAGAAAGGGTGTGTCTGAATCCACGGGAAGGATGCTGAGTAAGGTCTAGCTGCAGACGCAGCCCGGCCAAACACGCCCCTGGCCAAACACGCCCCCGTGCCCTATGTACAAAACACGCGTGCACGTACGAAGACGAGAACTCGCATGCGTGTTGCAAGAGATGACTGCAGCTAGGTATTATTGCTGAATTCGGCAATAATATCTAGCTGCAGACGCAGCCCCGGCCAAACACGCCCCCGTTCCATGGCGACAGCTTCTGGCAATGGACGTGACGTTGTGTCTGACCAATATTTGCTGGGATGCTTTCTGTTGAACTACACTATTTGTCAAAAAAACTATAATGCATGTAAATGTTGACATGTGAAAATATATCTGAATGGATTTTAAGGGAATTTTCTGTTACATGTTTTAACAAATTTTACACGTCTGAGCGTGACAATTTTAGGGCTACCACATTGCCGTCGTGAGTTTGCTGCGCTTATTAGATGAGGAGTCATAAACGGTCAAATAAATAGCCTATTGTTATGTTTATTTTGACCAAAAGGCTTGCATGTAGCCCATTAAAAATTACATTAAAAAAATTGCGTCCATGACGTCTTCCCCCACTGCCATTAATGCTTAATTTTATATAAGTGTTTCAGAAAAAAATTACGAATGCGCTATCTACCAAACTATGTCTTAAACGTTCAAATTTCTAGTACAAAATCTTCGCAAGTTGTAAAAATATAAATCTGTCTTTACCTGAACCGTCATTTCCATCTGTTGCAACACGCATGCGAGTTCTTGTCTTCGTACATGCACGCGTGTTTTGGACATGGGGCGTGTTTGGCCGGGGCTGCGTCTGCAGCTAGACCTTACTCAAATTCAGAGCCGCTGACTTCCGGTTTTAGCGGTCTTTAAGGACCCGGCCTTGCTAGACCAGCGAGGACCCATACTCATAAGCATCCTTCCCGTGGATTTGGACACACCCATACTCTTTAGCGCCCCCCGCAGTCACAGATTATCCTAGGTCACAGATTTTGCTGTAACACTGTGGGTGTTTCTCAATACCAAGGAACCTTACCTTGATGTCTTGGCCCCGCCCCGGTTGCCTAGGAGATATGTCATCTGGAACCGCCAAAGCGTTTTCTAATGTTCATGTTCTACCGAGGCGTCTGTTCTCCGTTTGTTAGCCGTTCGTTTAGCTAGCTTATCATGGAAACACGGGAGGTGTCTTGTAGCCTAGCCTTGGTCAAAAATTTCCCAGAATACACTGTGGTAGTTTCAAAAGGATGGCAGATCAGAAGCAGCTACTTAGGGGGCAAATTTCAAGTTAAATGTAAGTCAACTAACTGTAGCAAGTGGGCTGATATCTGAAATGTTTTCTTATATCCAAAGCAGTTATCTATGGTTGGTTCGTTGCTTAGTAGTTGCAGCTTCGGTAGCTAGCAGGTAGTAACTCGCTTACATATTTAATTTAACAAATATATACACAATTTTAAAAGTAAAGGGCTTGTTATATATTTATTGAAATGTATAACTATAACGCTATCTCCCGTGTCATGAGACGTTACGTGACCGCCACGGTCACGTGATGCAAGTCTGTTCCATTTAACCGTTTTCTTTGACCAATGAAGGACAGTGTCCTCGTAAGCAAAGCACCTGGCCTCACAAGACATCGCCTTGCAAGGCCAGGCGCCTTGACATTGAGAAACACCCCGTGACTGGGAGGCAATACTGAGCAAAACAACTTGCCAGTCTAGCACTCTAACCACCAGACCACTCAGGGCCGGAGTGGGACACATTTTCAGCCCTGGAGTTTCAGACCCCAGACCGGCCCACTTAACGAATTATTATTAAAATCATGTTAGAACTTTATGTGTATAGTCTACAAAAGCACACTACTCGGTAAAGCCTTGTAATTCAGTGCAAGAAAGAGTTGCTTTACAATGTAGGTTTATTTGAACATCAGTGCACATCTCCAACATTGTTCTTTACAACACATTCTCTAACAATATAACAATCTACCTTCTGTTCAAACAGCTGTTCTGAGATTTTCAAACCTTTAAAATGAAATGACTCAGCACTCCCTTTCACACTTTTTCCAGTTTCCCTAGACTCACCTGCACACAATTAAAATAATCATCTGTAAAGCTTTAGCACATTTGATATGGAAAACACATTTTTGTAACCAATTAAAATATTTTCTATGGCAAAATATGCAGGCTTATTTCATTTTACTTTCATTCTAATAGCGATCTGTTGTGGGCTTTGTGCATTTACTAATAAAAATACAACAGGTCACTACTATTATTTGGACATTAAAATTATTATAATGAAACTGATGTTTGTGCATGAGTTGGCTCACCTTCTATCCCAACAGGAGCAATACCCTCACTGCTGGCTCCTGGCTCTTCTTCTGACACTAAATCACATTGTGTGAAAATGGTCACAATTCAGCATTCATTTTCCTTTTTTACACGCTTTCTGATCAATGCTGAATCATCTAGCATTTTAGAACACTTTCATATAGAGCCAGGATAGTTTTCATCATATAAATTTTAATAATATTCAGTTCACTGACTCAATAAGTAATCCTACCTGTACATGCCCGCTCTGGAACTGTGGGCTTCTGCCTGGTGCTTATTAGGCCTACTGGATCTTGTGTTTGACTCTGAGGGGCTACAAGACAGTTTGGTGGCATCAGTCACATCATACTGTTAATTATATTACATAACGTTATGTCATGATGCCATATAATTCATTATTGATGCTTAATTAACTTGAATGGTGATTTGCAGCTGGTAAAGTTTAACATCTTGACTTGCCTTACCCGTTTTATCTTCATTTGAAGTTAAAGACCGCAAGCTTGTTTGAGAAAAAAGGTGCTCATTTTGGCACATTTAGCTGCATCTGTTTCCAGCGCTTTCCTCTTTTTAATTCTTGCCTTCTCCGCGCCACCCTTGCTCTTTCTACTTTCCATCTTTCCGTCAACTGCATGGTCACGTGGTGCGCACAGGCGCATACGGGGAAAAAAAATAACGAGCGGCAGCCTGCAGGTAGAGCCAGCCAGAGACAGCCGGGAGGAGCGTATGAGATCAGCCCGGCGGCCTCAGTGCCATGATTGAACACCGGCACAAAAAAATAAAAATGACAAAAAACAAAAACGAGAGCACCGGCCCATGCGGCCCAAACATCGCGCGGCCCACCGGGAATTCTCCAGACCCTCCCGATTAGCCACTCCGGGCCTGAGACCACTGAGTTTGCTACAAATTAATAGTCGCCTCAGACACACATCCAGAGCTGGCCAGTAAGTGTATCTTAGTAGACAGGATGCATGTTTTATGGAGGTGTTTTGTCCCCAATGCAGAAGTAATTTGTCAGAATATCAACAGAATATCCAGGTTTCAGGCTCAAGACCAGAACTGCTTCAGAGGGAGGAAAAAGGCCTAATAATGCAAGTGAGCTACTTTCTCTTGGATGCAGGATAAATCTTTACATGGAATAAATTGAAGTTGAGGCAGAAGAATGCATGAAGGCAGCCAAAAACAGGTTTGGGGAATTTCTCATGAAAAAATGACAACATAACATAGTAAAAAGCTCCAAAATGTGGATTTTCCATGATATGGCCCCTTTAAGAATCCCAAAATACACTGATAACATTGAATCATTTTTCTGATAACCAAAGCAGAATGCACAGATAAACATTACCCAAAAAAGGTAATTTACACAGCAACAGTTTAATCAAGCATTTCATGAACAAACATTTTGAGCCACTCTCTGCCAGTGGCTGCACACAAACACTCCACAGCAGCATTTCATCCACACAGTCAATTATTTTAAAAGTTAAACTCACCAGCTGCGTCGTTGGTGTTTTAGATGTCCTGTCACATCAGCTGCTCGCTTTGGGCTGCAGATACACCTCACCAGAAGTTCTGTTCTTCACCTTTAGAGTCCCTGAGCTACGAGGTGCTTGTGTGATGGTTCCTACTGGTGTTTCTTCCAAGCTGGACATATTGTTATTTATTCATATTCATAATATTATTATTCACTTTCCATCGTGACTTTTTGTTTTTTATCCTTATGTAGTTTTGGGAAATGTCCTACAAAACATAGAGTCTAACATGCAGCTAGCTTAGTTTTTTCTTGTAGCATTACAACACCCAGGTCAAAAAAACTCTGCTAAATAAACTCCCATGTGCAAAATAACTTTGGAAACAAATGATTTTTGTTAAGTAGAAACATTTTTTATATATTGAACAAGTCACAGAAACTTATAACTAAAAATTTTCATAATTTTTTATTATTTCTGTTTTGTAGTTTTGGGAGATTTTACCACAGCACTTTCAACATAGAGTATGATAAAGCCACAAACACTAAGGTTTGAACTGTTAAGACTTTACAAGTTTTTTAAACTCCTTCTAGTCCCACATACTTTATATTCCTAATTTAATTTATACAAGCAACTTTGACACATTGCACACAGTGTGTCCCACACAGCTACAGAGCATAAGATATTCTCTCAAATCACCCCAGAGCGCAACATGCACCGGGTCATCGCAAGTTTCTCCCATGCGTGGTTTTAAACTGCTTTAATACAAGTAAGAAGCCAGATTTTGAACAACTACATCAGTTTCTTCATCTCAGTTTTTTTTTTTTTTTTTTTTTTTTGGTTTTTTAAATATTTTCAGTATAATGATGATCCAATACAATAGTCTGTTTTGGCTGAGACATGAAACCACATTTAGATGTAAATCCCAAAATTATTTATATTGATGAGAAGAATCCTTTTAAAAGCTGCAAACATGGTAGCTACTCAGTATTGTGTTTAGGAAGGATTTGAAGGAAGAAGTGAGCTACCAGCTCTGCTAACACAAAGTCATCTTAAATTTTTTAATAAGAGCAAAGGCAAACTAAATGCTAAATTATGGCGTTTACTTATGCTGATTTGGCATTTTCTTGTTAACAGTGTAACATTTAATCTCAACTTGATATAATAAAGTCTAGTAAATTTTGTGTCTCTTTGGTGTGGATGTTTCATTACAATTGGCAACAAAACGTTTTAATTGAAAGGTAAGTTTCTTCATAAACCTTTATCTCTGTAATGTCCAGAAATGGTCAGTTTTCATGTACAGTTTGACCCCTTCAGTATCTGGTCTACATGGAGACAGGAGTCTACATGAGTTGCCTTTAATGTGCCGGATCCTGCTATTCTATCAGCTGGAGTCCAGGCCTCCCTGCAGTTCGGAACACGTGACAAAGTGTCAACAAACTGTTCCCTTCTCAAGGTCCTTCTGTGCCAAGCCTGCCTGGTTTTCTAGGCTGGACTGGACTGTTATAAGAGTGGCTGTTTTCAGCTTATCTGAGTTAATCATTCGTGAAATAATAATAATAATAATGCCTTAATTAATCTGTGCTTAAATTAATAAGGTTGATTAATCTGTGCTTGAACTACTGAAAGTTTGAAATGAAATGAATTATTACATTGATTGATTTATATATATGGTAATCTGTCAAGAACCGAGTTCAGAAGACCCGTGAAGACGCCAACACAGTAAAAATATATATTAAAAAGTCTTTATTGAAAGCAGAGGTACCTGGAGGGCAAGGCTGAGGCAGGTTCAGAGGCAGGCTAAGGTCAAAGTGGCAGGCAGAGAGTAAGGCAGGGGTCAGGCAAAAAACAAGGTCCAGAGGCAAAGATCAGGCAGGGTGGAAGGCTGGAGAACTACTGGCAAGGCTGTAATAATCTGGCCTCTGTTGACTGGATGGCTGGTTCTTTTATAGCAGGGGAAGCAGGTGAATGGGATGAGGCTGATTACAGGAGCAGGTGGAATGAATGGAGCTGATTGAAGCTGACAGAGGTTGCTGGGGAAAGCAGGGCTTGGCTGGAGCTTGGTGAGAGGAACCAGGTGAGCTGAATGAAGGTATAATGAGGAAGTGGAGGAGGGTGAAGGATGGGAGTCATGACAGAACCCCCCCCTCAAGGGCGGATACCAGACGCCCACAGGAAACCAGAGCAGGGTGGGAGGAGGGGGACCAGGAAGGAGGGCCAGAGCAGGGCGGGAGGAGGGGGACCATGAAGGAGGGCCGGAAGGGTCTGGGGGGCCGGCGACGGGGAACCAGGAGCGCGGACTGTGGGAGTCTGGGGGGCCGGCGACGGGGAACCAGGAGCCGAGACTGTGGGAGTCTGGGGGGCCGGCGACGGGGAACCATTAGCCGGGATTGTGGGAGTCTGGGGGGCCGGCGACGGGGAACCAGGAGCCGAGACTGTGGGAGTCTGGGGGGCCGACGACGGGGAACCAGGAGCCGGGACTGTGGGAGTCTGGGGGGCCGACGACGGGGAACCAGGAGCCGGGACTGTAGGAGTGTGGTGACAAAGGACACTGGTGGACGAGGACTAAGAGGGGGCACTGGACCAAGACCAAGACTACGAGGAGACACTGGACTACGACTAAGAGGGGACACTGGACTACGACTAAGAGGGGACACTGGACTACGACTAAGAGGGGACACTGGACTACGACTAAGAGGGGAAACTGGACTACGACCAAGAGGGGACACTGGACTACGACCAAGAGGGGACACTGGACTACGACCAAGAGGGGACACTGGACTACGACTAAGAGGGGACACTGGACTACGACTAAGAGGGGAAACTGGACTACGACCAAGAGGGGACACAGACACTTCAGACTGGGGAACTTCAGACTGGGGAACTTGAGAGCAGGAGGGGTCCTCTTCAGAGCAGGGGCAGGAGGGGTCCTCTCCAGAGCAGGGGCAGGAGGGGTCCTCTCCAGAGCAGGGGCAGGAGGGGTCCTCTCCAGAGCAGGGGCAGGAGGGGTCCTCTCCAGAGCAGGGGCAGGAGGGGTCCTCTCCAGAGCAGGGGCAGGAGGGGTCCTCTCCAGAGCAGGGGCAGGAGGGGTCCTCTCCAGAGCAGGGGCAGGAGTGGTCCTCTCCAGAGCAGGGGCAGGAGGGGTCCTCTCCAGAGCAGGGGCAGGAGTGGTCCTCTCCAGAGCAGGGGCAGGAGGGGTCCTCTCCAGAGCAGGGGCAGGAGGGGTCCTCTCCAGAGCAGGGGCAGGAGGGGTCCTCTCCAGAGCAGGGGCAGGAGGGGTCCTCTTCAGAGCAGGGGCAGGAGGGGTCCTCTTCAGAGCAGGGGCAGGAGAGGTCCTCTTCAGAGCAGGGGCAGGAGGGGTCCTCTTCAGAGCAGGGGCAGGAGGGGTCCTCTTCAGAGCAGGGGCAGGAGAGGTCCTCTTCAGAGCCTGGAGGCGTCGACCCTTGGACTGGAGCCCCTTGGACAGGCTGGGCCGGAGCCCCTTGGACAGGCTGGGCCGGGACCGGGGCCTCTTGGACCTCATCCGTCGAAGCCGGATGCGATGCGTCCTCCGAGATCACCGTCAGAGCAGGGTGCGATGCGTCCTCCCGGACCACCGCCGGAGCAGGATGCGATGCGTCCTCCCGGACCACCGCCGGAGCAGGATGCGATGCGTCCTCCCGGACCACCGCCGGAGCAGGATGCGATGGGTCCACCGGGACCACCGCCGGACCAGGATGCGATGCGTCCACCGGGACCACCGCCGGAGCAGGATGCGACACGTTGGAGGGTTCTGGGGAAGGTGACCACCTCTCACAGCAGGTCAGACCCTCCATGGCGACATCCTTCAGTGCAGACCCATATACCCTCCGGACATAAAGGTAGTAATTACCAAGTGCTGGGACTGCTATCAACTCTGGATGGGTGGAGAAGATGACATTTAACCCATCAGCCGCCCGCAGACGTAAGTGGGGGTAGGTTGGCTTGGCAAAGACCTCTCACACAGCCTCCTCGACCATCTGCATCATCCCCTGAACAATCTCCTCCGTCGGGACCGGTCCAGAAGCAGAACATGAGGTGCCGTCTGTGGAACCCGCCGACACAAGCACGGGAGAAGGATTAACCCTCTTATCAGCTCCAGAAAACCTCCGGGACCGCCGCCGTCATGACCTGACAGGAGGGGTTTGAGGCTGGAGCGGCGTGGTCATGAACCCGCTGCACAAGACGTTTGCAGCAGGCCTGGACAGAGGAGTGGAGCCTCTGCGTGGCTCTGGCCTGATGGCCAGCCGCGTTCCCCAGAACGGTGACTC